CATAGGGAGAATATATCAGGGTATAGATCAACACAGGGAGAATATATCAGGGTATAGATCAATATAGGGAGAATATATCAGGGTACACATCAACATAGGGAGAATATATCAGGGTATAGATCAACATAGGGAGAATATATCAGGGTATAGATCAATATAGGGAGAATGGGTACAGATCAACATAGGGAGAATATATCAGGAAACAGATCAGCATAGGGAGAATATATAAGGATACACATCAACATAGGGAGAATACATCAGGGTACAGATCAGCATAGTGAGAACATTTCAGGATACAGATCAGCATAGGGAGAATATATCAGGGTATAGATCAACATAGGGAGAAGACATCAGGGTATAGATCAATATAGGGAGAAGATATCAGGGTATAGATCAACATAGGGAGAATATATCAGGGTATAGATCAATATAGGGAGAATATATCAGAGCACACATCAACATAGGGAGAATATATCAGGGTATAGATCAGCATAGGGAGAACATATCAGGATACAGATCAATATAGGGAGAATATATCAGGGTACAGATCAACATAGGGAGAATATATCAGGGTACAGATCAGCATAGGGAGAACATATCAGGATACAGATCAGCATAGGGAGAATATATCAGGGTATAGATCAACATAGGGAGAATATATCAGGGTATAGATCAATATAGGGAGAATATATCAGGGTACACATCAACATAGGGAGAATATATCAGGGTATAGATCAACATAGGGAGAAGATATCAGGGTATAGATCAACAGAGGGAGACGATATCAGGGTATAGATCAACATAGGGATAATATATCAGGGTATAGATCAATATAGGGAGAATATATCAGGGTACAGATCAACATAGGCAGAATATATCAGCATAGGGAGAAGATATCAGGGTATAGATCAACATAGGGAGAAGAAGGGATAGATTAACATAAGAGGACATGTCATGGTGCAAATCAACAAAAATATGCATTGTATTCCCAATTTTTTTCCAATCCTAGTTTTAAAGTTCTTGCCAGCTCCCCTGGAATTATTTCAAGATAAAAATAAGTGGATAAATATTCCCTACCTGTGGAACTACCTTAATACCAGTTTCAGTGGAACCCGAGTTCTCACTCCCTACTAAATCTGAACTCGGAGAGATAATATCCGTCCCACCCGGACCTCTACTCTGAAACACAAATTATTTAAGAATTTGTCAAAACAAGCAAACAAAAAAACAGACAACCATAATTTTAGACTTCAGAGAGAATTTTTTCTTCTTCTCAAACCTGTTCAAAATATTAAATAGAACAGAAATTTCATGGTAAACCGTAAAAAAAATGTTCGTGATACAAACTATATTTTTTACTCACAATTGTTTCTTTTGATTTCTCAATTTTTGGTGCTTTTACGTCTTCATTTGTCCTTCTTCTTTCTCTTTTTTCTTCTTTTTCTTCATCTTCTTCTTCCCGTTTCTGCATATACGCCTTGAAACAAAAATACTTAAAACGTGATTAAGATTCTAAAGTGAGACATGTACACAACTGTTGAATAAATAAATAAAAAAGGTAAACCATCATTCCGTGGAAATTAATGTAATAAACAGACTACTTCTAGATTTAAGTTACGAGTATAAATAGTTTAATGAATAAGAAAAACAGACCCATTTCACTTCGTAAAATGATTCTCAAGTCGTTGGTGAAGCTATTGGCTTACAAAAAAATCAAATACACATAAGATTGCTTAAATGTCGTCTTAGTATTCCACAGTTTTATGGAACTCACTGTAGTTTATAATTACAAAATATTGAGTCATCTGTCTGTCTGTCTGTCCGTCTGTTTATTTCCAGTTAATCAAAAAGCGTAAAGTCGAAGAAAAATCTGCGAACGTTTTTGGGTTTATGATGGCGAAGAAATAATGAATTAAAAGCTAAGATTATTGTTAGAAAAGGAGGCGGGTATTGTCCCAAAAGAGCGGTAGAAACCCCCAGCTTTATTTGTGGTTAAAGGGCGAAATCATGAAATTAAAATGAAATGTTTGCTACCTGGGTTTCAAATATCTCGTGATAGGACTGAGACATGTCCTCCTCCAGCTCCCCACCTAGTCTTCGTCCTACTCCTTAACAATGGAAGTAAAGCTTCGTCCTACTCCTTAACAATGGAAGTTATGCTTCGTCCTACTCCTTAACAATGTAAGTAAAAATTCGTCCTACTCCTTAACAATGGAAGTAAAGCTTTGTCCTACTCCTTAACAATGGAAGTTATACTTCGTCCTACTCCTTAACAATGGAAGTAAAGCTAAGAAGGGTGAAAAGAGTGATAAGGGCGAACTAAGGGGGTGGGGCTAGGAAGCACAGCCCCCCCCCGGAGCAGTGAAATCTATGGTTTCCAAGGGGGTTTCGGCACTTAGGGCCGTTAACTGGCTCTGAGCCCCCCCTAGAAAAAAGGAAGCACTCCTAATTACGCCCCTGGAGAAGAAAAGGAGTTGTTTATATCTTACTGTGGCCTATAACTAAAGTTCAGGAAATATTGTAAACATCAACAAAAATTGTAAAATAATTAACAAATAACGTTTATTCAAGTGAACCTTCATTTATAGCGCGGCATGTCCAATTTCCTTAAAAGCTTTGTCTGATATAGTATAAATGAGCTGTTCATGAATCCCTTCTTGAAACTTGATTATTTTCAACTGTGGGTTTTCTGCGAAAGCGACTTACGGATTTCTGCTCACAAGAAACAATGGAATTATTTTAACACTTCTATAATATTCAACAGATAAAGGTTGAAATCAAGGGTTACATGAAATTACGATAGCCCCTTTATCAAGGCTTGGTATTCTTGAGCAAGGCAGAAGGGCAGGTCCATTAAGGCCAATGCCTTGATTGTTTACTTAATGTTGTATGCTTTATAATAAAACTAGTTATGCACTGTCCTCATAAAACCCAAACCATATCACATTAATTTATTTATTACAAATAATTTACAACTAATCTAAAATTAATCGTTTGTATTGTAAAATTGCGTTTTGTTAATGATACCTCGAGATTCTATGGCCAAACAAAATAAAAATTCTTTCATCATTAACTATTTTAATTTTGCGCGTAAATATCCTATTACCCAAGTAATTGTTAGAAGAAAAGAACTGTTATCTATCTTATACCTGGTATTGCAGAGGGCATAGATACATCCTCCGAGGACGGTGTGGTTTCCTGGGATTCAATCCCTGGATTAATTCCTAGAACCTCAAGAGCCTCCAACATGGATCTGTCCTCCACCTGAGGAGTATCATCCTCCAATTCCATTTTTCTGAAATTTAGGTCTTTCTGACAAAATATAAATTTTTTCCTATGACCGAATTTTATGAATTTGAGCTGCGCCGCTAAACTACCTACTACCGGTTCAAATTAAAAGATTAAAGAAGGATTTGAATTGGTGATTCAAGTCTAAAACGGCGGTAGGCAGATCAAGTTCATAAATTTCGGTCTCTAAAACATTTTACATTTTACATCAAAATATAGATACAAGAAACAAAATAGATTTTAAACCAAAAAGAGACTTGCCTCAATTCATAATTTTCTGTCGATTAAAATATAAATTCTGTGATCAAAAGTTGAAGATAACAAACGCTCTTATAATTATCGCACGGAGATGTTTTCTCATATCAGTATTTTTATGTCAACATTTTCTAATTCCCGTATCTTTGCATCTGATGGTGTAAAACTTAGATATTTATAACCATTTCATCCAGCAGAAATCTTTGCTTGAAATATAAAAATATCCACACCATTGGGCTTTAAAGATGTAATGGATAAAAATTAGTATTTTAGGCAAGTATTCAAATTTTTTCTGACTAACGACAACACATCTTCAGTCGTTTTTTAAAAACAAAAATAAAAAACTTTTTTTTTCTTTTTACAATACTTCAATAATTAAATATTCTGTTCTATATATGACAAATAATATTCAAAATTCTGTACTATTCTCATAATTGGTAAAAAAAAAAACGGATAAATAAACATAAATAATAAAAACGTTTCATAATATATCAGACAGAAAAATATTCACTACAGGGCAGCCCAAAAAAATGAGACTTCAAAGACGACTCATTCTAACATTCCTGATTCCCTGCCGCTCAAGTCTATTTGCTAAATCACTTAGATCTATAATTTTATGTAGAAAATTAATCATAACCGCAAATAGTTATTTTAGTTTCCGGTCATCATTAAAGCCTCTTCTTTTGTGGGCAACCCTATAAGAAGTTTATGTAGTATAAATCAAAACAATTCTATAAAATTTCCTGCTAAATATTTAAAATCAATAATATTTATAGCAATGGACATGAAGGGTAGGAACCCGGTAACAAGACAAAAGCAATGAAAACTTTAGCAACAGAATAAGAATAAAGTATCTAGATAAAAGCAATGATAACTATAGCATTAAACAGAATAAGATTTAAGTATCTAGATAAAAGCAATGATTACTATAGCAATGAACAGAATACGAATCAAGTATCTAGATAAAAGCAATGANATAAGGAAGATATCGACATTCTGATGTCTTATAAAGTATAGAGTTCTTATAATCCGATTAACAACGGTACATTTCAGACATGTGTATCAGTAAAAATAAGGAAGATATCGACATTCTGATGTCTTATAAAGTATAGAGTTCTTATAATCCGATTAACAACGGTACATTTCAGACATGTGTATCAGTAAAAATAAGGAAGATATCGACATTCTGATGTCTTATAAAGTATAGAGTTCTTATAATCCGATTAACAACGGTACATTTCAGACATGTGTATCAGTAAATATAAGGAAGATATCGACATTCTGATGTCTTATAAAGCATAGAGTTCTTATAATACTTAAATGGTAATTGGGCTGCAGCCTAAATGTTTAAGGAGATATAACAATTGAAAATTATCAATAACTAGAAAGAAAAAAACAGAAAATCTCAGCGATCCTTGATCAGAAAAAGGTTTTAAGGATACCCATGTACTCAAAAGCTCCTAATTATTAACCCGTTCTTAACAAAAAAAATATTCGTATAAAAATCTATTAAATTATACAGTTTCAGACTGACTTATCAAAATATATAAAGATAAACTTTCGAGCTGATTTATTATCAAATGAAAGCAACATAAAAATGGAACTGACCTATTTCATCAATTATATCATTTTGTTGGATAATTTCTACACCAATCTGCTGGGCCATATTCTTCTGTCTTATTATCACACTATGCAGAGCATCTAGACCAGCATCCTTCATATTCATGTATTTAATAATCACAGTACAGTGTACACAATAACCTTTATATTGTGCACATGTACAGTGTACAAGTGCATCCAGACCAGCATCCTTTATATTTATTTAATTAATAATCACAGTACAGTGTACACAATAACCTTTATATTGTGCACATGTACAGTGTACAGAACATCCAGACCAGCATCCTTCATATTTATTTGTTTAATGATACACAGTACAGTGTACATTCTGGAAAAGGAACACGCGACTTTAAGACACTAGTTGTGATTTTACATAGTTCAATGTACATGAGACACAGCACTTGTGTAGTGTAAACAGACCAATTTTACCTTATAATACATAGATTTAATAAGTTACTAGTTAACCTAGTTGCTTTGTAACAACATCAAACACACTTAATATTGCTTTAATAATGTGCGCGTCTTCATATTCCACAGTTTTCTGGTTCTCACTGTATATTAAACGTTAAACTAGACTGGCCGGTACGAGTATATGCTTGTACCGGTTCGGATTTCTCATCACCTGATCTAACATGGCCTCCTGCTGTTTTTCTTTCAGGGACTGAGCACTCATCCCAGCCGTCTCCAAGGACTCAGCTCCCCCGTCCCCGGGGGGACTGCTTGAGTCCCCCCACCCCGTGGTTCCCATGTCCGCTATTCCGGAACCAGGCACCGGTTTCCGGAATAAAGTTTTCCGGTCCGAGTTCACCTCAGTAAATATAGTTCTGCTCACTAGCTCTTTCAGCTGTTTCTCCTTCCGGGAGAAATTGTCTAAAATACGGGTTTTTACAACTTAAAGAGACTGTAAGCGTAATTTTAAGTGACCCTTCATGCAAAAATGGCAATATCCGATCTACAACGGCAAAAATGTGACGGGAATGCAAAATTCTTTGTGACGTAAAAGACTTTTGTTGATTTTTACGCGGTTAAAGGGGCTGTATAGCGTTATTTCAAGTGACCCACCATGTATTGAAATGTATGATTTACAACGGTACCTTCGAAATCTTAATTTGATCAAAAAATGTGGAGGATAACGTCGTTTTTCTGACTCTAGAGTGTTTATTTTTGTGAATTTCTCCAAGAAATGCGCGAATCACTCTTGAAAAAAACCACAAAAATATACAGTTTAAAGAAAAACAGTCATGTATAACTAATTCATACTTGATCTGACAAAGTTTATACGAAAAAAGCTTGTACATCAGGCATTGCCATCTTTGCATGAAGGCCGAGGGGTCCTGTGCAGGTCACTAGAAATTACGCTTACAGTACAATGAAGACTAGTTCGGAGACACGAATCAATATTATACTGAAATTTTGTAGATTTATAATTTTAATATTACAGTTTACCTAAAACTCCTTCTCTTCTGTTTCTCTCCCCTTGAGTAAGTTTTGAAGACTCGGTATGAAGTTTCTCCCGGAGCAGATTTAACTAAAACGGTTATTTCCTTGTTCAAATGTGATCATTTTTCTTTAAACTTTTCTTCAGACGAAACTTTTTAATTTTAACAATTCCTAAATTTTTCCACAAAATTCAAGACATAATTGTGATATTTTGCTTAATTGCATAAATACTGTGGTAGGCGATTATATCAATATAATGAAGACGACTTTCGATTTAAATTTTTATTTACATCAACCTTTTAAGAACAGCATAGATACACAAAAACATAGAAACAAAAAAAGCTGTAAATAAAAAAAGCTTCTCTTTAATTACTTAAAATATTGTTATTCTCATACCTGTCCTGAGAGCTGGGAGAGTGTTCGACCAAGATCATCAGTGAGCTGGTGATATACAGAGCTTTTCCTACTCAGCTTACTTCGCTCTCCAATCTTAAGAATAAAAGATTAGCATAACAAATTTGTGGTTAAAAAACAGAATCAATATTAAGAAAGAAAGTAGCAATCTCTGTTTGTTTGTGTGTCCCATCATGACTCGGGAACCCCTTGATCGATTTGACCGATTTGAACCACTTAAATGTTTTAGTTTGGTTTAAAAATTGTAAGTTAAGTAGGTTGACTTCCATGGCATGTTAGATTCACAACAGTATACCTTTTTAAATATTGCTGATTTCCGACAACTAATTTTAGTTTCTGATTAAAAATTTCCAAAGCCACTTTTAAAAAGAAACCACAATTGAAAATAATCCATTTTCGGTTTTGATAACTAGGACAAAGAAAAAGGTTTTAGGATACTTTTTTTCCTCCAATATTTCTTTGCTAATTGTGCGTATAGAATGTGTACAGAATGCTCAGTCCAATGCTCCAATAGTATAGGAATTAGTAAATGTCGATATTTTGTACATTTCTTAATCTATCTACAGGGTGTCCTAAGAATCAATCTATCTTTGGAGTGTCCCAAGAATCAATCTATCTACAAGGTGTCCCAAGAATCACATCCACAGGGTGTACCAAGAATCAATCTATCTACAGGGTGTCCCAAGAAGCAATCTATCTACAGGGTGTCCCAAGAAGCAATCTATCTACAGGGTGTCCCAACAATTAATCTATCTACAGGGTGTCCCAAGAATCAATCTATCTACAGGGTGTCACAAGAAGCAATCTATCTACAAGGTGTCACAAGAAGCAATCTATCTACAGGGTGTCCCAAGAATCAATCCATCTACAGGGTGTCCCAAGAAGCAATCTATCTACAGGGTGTCCCAAGAATCAATCTATCTACAGGGTGTCCCAAGAAGCAATGCCCACTTTTAAAGTGATTGTCACCTATCATGAAATTTCCAAAATGTGGTCTGATAAGAAATTGGATACTCTTAATACCGATCACTTTGAATCTGAATATTCACTGTGGACTCTTTTTTGCTTAATCCGTTCCTTTCCCTTCTTTTTGGTTATCCCACCGGATTCCGACCAATTCTAGTTTTCAGCTCACATTTCTTGAAATTAATTAAGATTTATTCAAATATTTCGTAATCCCTTCATTTACTATATAGTTTTTTTTTTTGGAGTTTTTGGACCAATGGACAAGTTAGGAATTACTTGAGCAAGAAAAAAAACTCTTAAGTGTTTAGGAATAACTGAGTAAGAACGAACGTTTCTAGTGTTAAGGAATACCGAAGTAAAACAAAACCTCACTTGAGTTAAGGAATACTGGAGTAAATAAAAAAAAAACCTCTCTAGTGTTAGGGAATACCTGAGTAAGAACAAAACCTCCCTAGTGTCTGGTAATACCTGAGTAAGAACAAAACCTTCCTAGTGTCTGGTAATACCTGAGAAAGAACATGTTGATGAAGTTTCTCTGCTGTAAGTAATTCTCGTTCCCAACCATCCCCTGGATACATTACAATCAGGTTTACAGAGATTTATCTATTACTAGCTGAAGTATCCATCTATCCCCAGGATATATTACAATCAGGTTTACAGGGGTTTATCTATTACTAGCTGAAGTATCCATCTATCCCCAGGATATATTACAATCAGGTTTACAGGGGTTTATCTATTACTAGCTGAAGTATCCATCTATCCCATGGATATATTACAATCAGGTTTACAGGGTTTATCTATTACTAGCTGAAGTATCCATCTATCCCCTGGATATATTACAATCAGGTTTACAGAGGTTTATCTATTACTAGCTGAAGTATTCATCTATCCTGGATATATTACTATCAGGTTTACAGAGGTTTATCTATTACTAGCTGAAGTATCCAGCTATCCCATATCTCATTACAGGGGTGTATACTCTCTTAAAGACCATTCCCCCCCCCCCATTTTTGAAAATCGTTTTCCCCCAGAAGTAAAGTACGCCAACATTTTTAATGGTTTTATTCTCAAAATTTGGGAAAATATTTTTTTGTTGCTAAAATGAATGAAAAGGATGAAAAAACTTGCTTTTTCGCATNCGGTATGAAGATTAAGTTATCCAATCCAACTATCCATGGATATATTACAATTGTACAAGATTTTTACCTATATCAATAAGCGCCATCTTTCCAAAAACATGAAAGCATAAATCACATTTTTCTGAAAATATTAAAATATATTAATAATAAAAATTTTCTTTTTATGATTTGTTTTTATTTTGCTGAACTGCGAGACCAAAATCCTTTTTTAATTGAAGAGCATTCGCCTTAACGTCCACAAACGCTTTCCGTAGAGCAGTCTAAAAACAATATTATTAATTCGAAATAAAAAAAAACTGCATAAACCATCGCAACAACAAAAACCATGATAATAATATGAAAAATATCTAATAAATAAATAATAAAATAAAAAAATGAAAGAACAAGTGAAAAATCAAACTTTCATTACAATTAAACAATCTGCAGTTTAGTCATGTAAACTTGGGAAAGTAAAGGGGTACATATTAGACATATTTTTTTATGAACTTTTGGAGAAAATACGATTCAAATAGTCAGTATTTCTTTTGAAAGGTAGATTATCAGTTAAGGGCATTGCATCATCGAAAAGACAATTTTTTTAGCCTAATTTTATCAATAATTATCAGGTCAAAACTTTTGTTTTGTTTGCATTGTCAGCTAAATCCAAGCATCCGCATTTTTTTTTAATAATGTCTGAATTATCTTTCAGTGATTTTTCCGTACATCCCTGGAAAAAAACTAAATCCTTTGATCCAAAAGTTTATTCGATTTGGCTAAGCGGTATTCCAATCAGAAGTTTCTACCTCGCTCTAACTTAATAATACCTGGGCCGGATATCCATCCATGGTTTGTATCCTCAGGTGCATAATCTCCTCGGAGGGATGAGGTATCGTATATCCAGCAAATACAACCTGGATACAGTCAGATTCATTAAACTGTGGAATAGAAAGACGACATTTTAGCAGCGACATGCGTATTTGATGTTGTTTTAAAGCAAATAGTTTTACTGTAAAACCTAGGTGATTGATGAGACTCCTTATCCATCATTGAAGAAATTCTAGAATCTACAGAATTCCGCCCTAGGACAAAGAANCACCTTTAAGTGTACACTATACAACTGTACAGTGTACACTCACTCAAGCATCAGTCGTCAGATAATCCATGACAAAAAGAAGAACCTAAATCAAGGATATTGTCCAAGGAGAGAAGTGAAGTCCAAGATGTTCTCTGATCGCATAGAATTAATTGTCTCAAGCTAAACAAAACCGAGATGTGCAGTAAAAGAATGTACTTTGTTTATAAAATTTAATCAACTGTAATTGTGAACTAAATATTGTTTTGCTCAGATTCAACCAGACTTGAATAAACTAAATATTCTTAGATTTCTGCATATAGTTTTGCAAGTGAAATTGAGCCTGTTAACATTATCGATGTGTTTCGTTTTAATTGGTGGTAGGCGATTACATCAATACAATGAAGACGACTTTTGAATTCAATATTGATTTAAATTAAGTATAGAAGTCACGATGTTTAATCAATTTTAAAAAAACTTCTCTTTTATTACTTGTAAACTTGCAATTCAAAAAAAGCTTGTTAACAATCAAAACTTAAATACTAAAGTCATCGAAATGTTATTCATTATAAATTTAAAACTTACGATTTACGGGTTTAAAGAGCTTAACGTTTTTGAGCCAGATCTGAAGCAATTATAAACTGACCTGCGGGTTCTGAAGCAATTATAAACTGACCTGTGGGTTCTGAAGCAATTATAAACTGACCTGTGGGATCTGAAGTAATTATAAACTGACCTGTGGGATCTGAAGTAATTAAAAACTGACCTGTGGGATCTGAAGCAATTATAAACTGACCTGTGGGTTCTGAAGTAATTATAAACTGACCTGTGGGATCTGAAGTAATTATAAACTGACCTGTGGGTTCTGAAGGAGTGTAACTCTAAGGCAGTTTCCTAATGTGTGGGATTCTTTACGAAAAACAAAAGTTCGACAACTATCTCCGGACTTACTAAATATGCCATTACAATCTTTTAGTCAAGAAAAAACGGATATTTTGGAAATAAAAAAAAAATAAAAAAAAAGAGATTTCATAAATTTCAGCAGATTTATTTTTCTAACTTAATGAATATATATTAGTAGAAAAAAAATATTTTTTATACTTAGCCAAAAGGTCCGAGAATATAATGTTAAAAAAGCTTTTTTTGGAATAAAAACATCGTTCTTTATAAATAATGTGCAAGTTCTATTAAAATCGCAAGTTTATGGCTTCTCTAATCTCTATAAGCTATATATAATTCAAATAATAAAATTCTGAATTTTAGATAAAAAGCGTTAATTTGTTTTTTAAACTGGAGAGGGCAAATATTTTGGAACTTATCAAAAATTAACGAAAACCCAAACGAAAACCCATTCTGTAATATGGTCAATTTGATACTAAAAAAAAGAAAGAAAAAAGACGTAAACGGATGATCAAAGCTTTATCTACTTTACAGAACCTAAACTCGAATTTGCAGTTGGAATAAAAGATGGCAATGACCGGTAACCTTGAAACCTTTATCTGATGACCGGTGTGGAAGATATTGTTTTTCTAGAAATTCTAAAAATTCCTATATAAGTTTCCCCGCAAAAGAAACGCACAAAGAAAAGTCACAATAGGAAGTAATCAGTTTTGAAAATTATAAACAGTGATGTCTAATTCACACTTAATCAGACAAAACTTTAATGAGTACCTTGGTGAATCTGGCATTGACATCCATAAATTATAGAGAACGCACTCGAGAAGATGCAATAATGATGTGAACGCATATAAGAATATTTTTGGATAATTAATCGATTGTAAAAGTTCCTGTCTCCCTCCAGTACGCTCAGCTTATGTTCGGTCTCCGGCGGGGTAAGAAGCGACATTCTTATCTGAAATATTGTCGTTTAATTGCGACATTGTTTGATGTTATGGGTCGATGTCGACTTTTCTTTCCGCCAACTTTTATATTTTACGGATAACATGATTAATCACATGACATTTAATTCTTATTAATAAATCGGGTTCGTCATGATCAGGGGCTTAACTCGCTTCGCTCGCGTTCTTAATTGCCTCTGTCTCGCGTCTAAAAAAGTATTTCAACTAAAATAAGGGATAACAAAAACCACAAAATTTTTTTTTTATAAATGAACAGATAATCAACATGAGGGCTGAATAATCCTTTAAAATTAAGCCTGCAGTGCAATGTGCCCCCAACTCTGTCAACATATACTAAAGATATTTTTGTATTTAAAGTTAAAAAAACTTCACAAAGATATGTAAAAGTAAAAATTATTGTATTTTTAACCATTTAATGTTTTAATCTTTGCTTAAGATCCGGATCCATTGAATCCTAAATATTACAGCTCTCTAAATTCACACAAAAAAAACCCAACCCAACCCGAATAAGATCAGATCTGATCGAAGAGACACCCCAGATCTGAGATGACATTATCAATTCTTATAAATCTAGAGATTTGTAATAAATATTAACATTGGGTATAACTCTACCTTAATTCTTTAATAACTGTGGCTAAAGCTTCAGGATTAGCCCCCTGGCGGAGAAATCTCTCAATTAATCATGTCGCATAAGACATTTTGGATACATTCATTCTTATTTCGATTTTGATTCAAGAAGCCAAGATATAAGATATCAAACTATTACTAGAAAGTAGCTATTTACTAGGACTCAGTGCTCTAAGTAGACAGGATCGGATCGACCATTACAGCGCCTGACTCTTCCTGGCTCACAACTGACTCTTCCTGGCTCACAACTGACTCACCAAAAAACAAAACGTGTCTCATACTTTATGAGGAATAAATAATCTGAGAAACCCCAGAATTAAAACTTAAAATTCAAAAAGAAAATTTTCCAGCTAAAATTATAGAGGAAAAGAGTCAATACTGTGTCCATGAAACAACCGGACACTCTCATTTTTTATCAAATTAAAGATTCCAGATGGGTAAAAATTCGTCTCGACTGGTTGAAACAGATCCGCCGAAACAAATTGGATTAGTTTTAATTGTTTTAAAAAATTTTAAATAGAAAAATATCAGAAAAAAAACCGAAATGTATTTAAATTTCTATCAATGCGAAGACGACAATTTTTCCACGTATCTATTGTAATTTGATAACAAATGATACAATTTCTCTAGTTTTTTTCCGGTGTGGGAGTGAAAGGATTTAGGTGGATGGGGTCCCATGATTCAAGAGTAGTGATCCAGGAATTTTAATATTTAGAATTGATTGATTGATTGATTGATTGATTTCCTGTTCACAGAGTCTGACACAGATTGCCAATGTCTCCCTGTCTAGTCCTGTATTCAGTATCCTGGATATCTCCAGCAGGGTGGTAAACGTCTCCCTCGCCTCAATATTTCTAAACAAAGACAAGAATGTTCTTAAAGGGAATACCGGTTTAGTTTCGAATGACCTTCCTTGCAAAAATGGCAAAAATGCCGAATTCACAAAGGTACCCTTTATACCTTTATCTGATCAATCATGTGGAATATTTTGTCGGTTTTCTAGGTTTAAACATTTTATTTCTGATAATTCCTTTATGTTTCCCTGCAGTAGAAATGCGCAAGTAGCGAAACTACAATTGAAAATAATTAGCTTTCAAAACTAACATTGATGTCTAATTCATACAATTCATTCAGACAAGACTTTTATTAATGTTGGGAATCGGGCGTGGCAATATTTACATGGAGGGTTACTTGAAACTTAACTTACAGTCCCTTTTATGGAAATCTCGAATTGCTTGCAAATGACATTTCACTCCCAGAGGGGGATGGCCGATTACCAAATCCACGTATAATTGCTTAAATGTCGTCTACCTTTTACAGTTTTGTGTCTTGTTGTATTGGAATTTCTTCTACTTAAATAACAGCCTGGGGAGTTGAAAACAAAATAATATTCAATGTGTGAAGAACAAGAACAAATTTGATATGATTAAACCATATTCCATTCTAGAAATAATTTTCCATGTGAAGCAACTGTATCAAATAGTAAAGAGACTGTGTTTCTGCAACAAACTCTGATTTTATAATCCATTTGAATTAAAATTCGGTGATGGTGATGAAGAAAATATCTCTTGAGTAAACAAAGTAGATGTTAATTCCACATTTTAATTCGGTCTGGGTTGACCCTCGTCAGTTCTTGAGATGGTTTCCGGTATGAAGATTAAGAACAATGTTGTAGAATTTTTGATTTTGGAAACTATGAATCCTGTTAGATCAAATAATTAAAGTTTTAAATATCAAAGGTTTACACACTCAGGTCATAAACTAAATGTAAACATGTTGTGTAGTTTTATCTTTAATGATGAAAAGAAATTTTGTGTAACAATTGAATAAATCAACCAGTGGCGTAATTAGGGGGGGTTATTGGGGTTATTTCCCCCCCCCCCTAGAATCATGGGGTTAATTACCCCCCCCCTAGAATCCTGGGGGTTATTACCCCCTCCCCCATAGAATTCTGAAAACAATAAAACCTGAAGATATTCTTAAAAGGTTTTTGAGCGCAAAGCCTTTTTTCATGGAGGAAAGAGTTGTTATCTTATTTTGTTTTTTAAAAAAGGTTGATTTTAAAATTGAGTATCTTTAAAATTTGCACGAAAATAATTTAAATGTGCAGATACCTCAGGTACTTCAGATTTTACGTCAACATATTCTAAATGATTCTAAATTCTAAATTATTGGTCAATGTCATGACAATAAAATGTTTTTTTTTTTAATAGAAAAAAATGGTATGGGCAATGCAGAATAATTTTTACTTATAAATAATGTCATTTCCATATTAGATTTATTTAAGATCTTAACATACTACATTGACAAGAAAATTTTAGAAATTAGAAATAAGAATATAAACAAAGACAATATTTTTCCAAGTTTAGCAGAGTAGCGTTTCTAAAGATTTTAAAAAGTAACATTTTTTTTCCTCTTAGAGCAAAACTATTTTTTATGTTACTTTAAAATAAATTCATTTTTTCTACAGATCTTTGTAGTTAATGTAAAATGAATGACTATAATGAAGGATATAAAACAAGTTGAAAGCTGAAAGGTTTCCCCCCCCCCCCTAGAGAATCCTTATTTACACCCCTGAAATCAACTAACCTTGAATTTGATTGGTTTCCATGTTTGCTAGCTTCCATACCAACCTTTTCCTTCATCTTGATAAACAACACATTTAATACATCTGAAAAAAAATATCACAGCCTTGATATAAAAAAATAAATAACATTTATTTAAAAACTGAGCCGGGAGTTTGAACTTTTTATAGTTCGATTTAAGTTCAGTTCGGATCAACTGAACTTAAGTTCTACTCGTCGTTTTCATCCTCCTTGTCTGGATATTCGAAATCTCTTGTTTTCGTATCTAGATCCTCTCCATACTGTATCGTTGTATCAATCATGATTAATAAATCCTGAAATAATCAAGGTTTCAAAATAGGTTCGTTCACAGACAAAAATATTTTATGAGTAAAAATTTGAAAAAAAAACACAATTTTTTTATTCAAAAGAATGTATAGTTTTGTGGGGGGATACAAGATTGGACATCGAAAGGCAAGTTTTTCATCCTTTTACCTACTTTCTGCCAGTGCCCTAACATTTATTTATTNTTCCCCAATTTCAGTAAATATAACCTCTGCGCAAACATACGTAACTTCCGGGAAAAACAAAGATTTTCAAAAGGGATGGGAGGAAGGGATTTTTAAAGAAAATGTACACCCCTGTTTATTAGTACAACTAGGCCAATCGTTCACTAAAGTGTCCAGGATGAAAACATAAACAATTCTCAAAACTAGACGAATACTTAATTTTAGATTTTACAACCTATTTCCTCAAATGCACGAACGTTTTTTAAGAAATCCACGAAATTTACAAGAAAGGTGTTCCAGCCAAAAACTTTCATTTTGAGAGAAATTCTCGATGCTTCTGGCTAATGTGTGTTCTAATGTGGGTTATGTGCATTTTCAACAACGTGAACACTGAACAATCCCTTTAATATTTACTAGCTTTCTCCTTACCTGTATATTTTCTTCACTAGTGATGTCCAAGGGGAAAAATTTGACAAGACTGTAATCGTCCAAAACCCGACCAAGGGCCACCGACAGCTCCCCATACCTTTATTATTTATTATTGGTAAAGTCTTCAAAACTAAAGAGCACGACCTAAACCATGGCCTTTTGAGAAACTCTGCAATCTTTTCTTTGGCCGAATTTAGAGAGAGATTTAAATGAGTTTTGCTGTTAAACTTGTGAAGCCATATGGGCAGTCAACTAGGATGCCAGGTTCGGATCTGTTGATATGGGAGGTTTCGAGAACATTAGCGGGGTTCAGGTGTTGATACACGTGGTTCATGGCGGTCCTGCAACCCCTCCCTCGTAACTTGTAACGTACCTGTGTCCTAGTACACCATTAGTCCCGTGAAGGTCTGCAGTAAGGGTGTGAGTATCAGGTTCAAGAAATCTCTCCAACTGTTTCCTCCCGCCCACAGATAACAGGTCAATCTGGAAAATATCAATATTAGAGCAAGGTTTAATTAACAGAGGCGAGCTGTTTGTCCTTTGAACCAGAGAACAGTTTTCGACAAGGAGAAATCATAAATTATTATTTTATGGGTCCTTCTTGCAATGTAAATTGGTAATTTATAATAAAATGGGCAGTGAAGCCCCCCCCCCTCACACACACACACCTTAAATCTAGAAACCTCCTGTAAAAGGTAATCACGGGTGTTAGTGGAATTTGAAGAATTCTAATAAACTACTTTCAATGTTCAGGATTTCTGAAAACCTGGAGAATCCTTGTGATGAATGTGAAGAAGTTGGAGCGGAGAAGGTTGAAATGAACCTACACATGAAAACTCGAACTTTCTCCTATATTTCTAAAACTTTTGATTATTTATCCTTATATTAAAAATCAATGTTCTGAATTATATAATCCTGAGAATATGTTTTTAATCTATCAAGCCATGAGAAATGTTAATCATGAGCTTTTTTATATAAAATTCTTTATATTATTGAGATTTCACAAGAAAGAAAGCTTTTAATTTGAGAGTAAAGATTTTATCTTGTATAACAAAGATTTTAACTTTGAAGCAATAATTTTACCTTAAAAACTATATATCGTCTTTTTCAGACGAAGAATGGGTTGATTATATTTATAAACCGATTAAGTCTCCAGGTCTCAGCTTTTACGAGGTTTATAAAACATCTTTTAAAGAATAGTTTCCAATAATAAAAAAGGTCTTGAGCTAAAAAAACTTTGACATATGTAATGATGTTATATAATGGTGAGACAGATCTTAGATTAAACGTGTTCTCCCTAACTTCAATCATCCTACAAATCTACCACCTACAACATCATCCACAAATCTTCATTCGTCGAGTACATGAAACTCAGGTGAACCATGCGAAATCATGAATAGACTTTGAACCTTGAGCTTTACAATATTCATCGGTAATATTATGCACATGCAGATACCTTAAATATATGTATTCAGGACCTACCCTGATGTTCGTATACCTCTCCGTCTGAATGATCTGATGGAATAGATACTCTCTACCTGGTGAGATCTTCTGATGTCGTCTTCTTTCTTCAGAACTGTTCTAGATTCCTTTGGCCGTCTTCCACCATCGTGATTCTACCTGATCATCATCCTGAGCATGTGAATGTGACTCCACCTCCTCTGATCCACAACTCGGAGTGCTGATTGTTCTGACCGAGCTGCCTCCGACTGGACAACGCAGATTTTCGAGGACTTATGTTGGAACGTCACATGCTGTAGACGTGTCCTGTTAAGGACACGAGAAATATGTATAACGATCTTGACGAACAGGATTTTAAACCCCGTCTTGTTTAGATTCCTCAAGATCAGAGAACAATATCAAGGATGTCGTCTTCCCCTTGGTTCTCCGTACTCTCCTTCACTGTTTCAAGGATTGCACCTAAAGGTATGCTGCAATTTCTGTGCTAATATTATGATAAGTGATCTATAAGCTTATCTTTTGTCGATCAAACCTCACCGAGAATTCCTTTTTAGACTCGAAAGGACTCTGAATGAAGCATAAGATATTCTCTCTCTGAACTGTAGCTCATATCAGTCCGAGCAACTTTGCAAGTGTGTTTTAAATACTGAACATTTTACTAGTATGATTTCTTAGTGACTCAAAATCTAAATTTCTTTATTGAGACCTGGAGCAAATTTTTGTAAACATATACGTATATATTTTGTTATATTATAATAATTTAATTTCAGTTCACAGTGTGAGAGCTGAAGTTGAGGATAACCTACTTCAATAAAGCTATATAAACATAACACTCGTGTATTAATGTGGTGTGCTGGTTATAAGGGAATACTCGCCCTGGATATGAGTGAGCTTTTATGTTTTTAAAGTCTCAAAAACAACGTTACGAGTACAGTGTTTACTATTTTTAGCAGAGGGGGGGGGGGGGAGAAGAACTATAACTAAACAATAACACTGAGAGAAGCTTTAGATATAAACTGTTACCTTGGAAAGAATGTTAACATGAGGAACCTCTAGGTTAACCATAACACTGTGAGCAGCTTGAAATATAAACTGTTACCTTGGAAAGGATGTTAACATGAGGTAACACTAGGTTAACCATAAGACTGAGAGAGCAGCTTGATATATAAACTGTTACCTTGGAAAGAATGTTAACATGAGGAACCTCTAGGTTAACCATAACACTGTGAGCAGCTTGATACATAAACTGTACCTTGGAAAGAACTTTAACATGAGGAACCTCTATGTTAACCATAACACTAAGAGAGCAGCTTGATATGTAAACTGTTACCTCGGAAAGAATGTTAACATGAGGAACCTCTAGGTTAACCTTAACACTGAGTGCAGCTTGATATATTTTTAACTTTATCAATTTATTTATTTATAATTTTTTTACGAAACAAATTAATTGATACATGTATTTAATGCAGAATGCTGACACTCATTTTTCCAATCTTCTTGATCCTGGCTGTCCTGTTTTGCTCATTCAATTAGCTGCATACTCCCGCCCCCCCAGGAGGGTTAATATGCAGTTTCGAGAGCTGATCAGGCAATTTGTAGTATTTCAATATCAGCTCTTGATTTTCTTTATTTATTTTAGTTGTTTTTGATATCGGCCATCTATGCAGGTTTATTGCTGACATTGCTGTAACGAGAACTTCCTTTTGTCAGCTGCATTACATGTATCAGTGTCTTGCAGTAATTTAGAAAGAAATTAAAAGACCTCCTAGCCTTAACTGCATTCTGCTAGGTTCAAGGTGATTTGGGTGTACCCCCTAGGAAAGGAACACCCATGAAACCAATGATGATCTCTCTCAGAAAGTTTTGATTAAGATTCCACAGCAAAGCAGTTTCTGAGTTCCACTATATCTGCTCGTGAAGTAGGATAAGGTTGGAATTTAGGAGGTAGGAGGATGAGGATGGGGGTGTTAGGGTAACAGGTATGAGATATACCATAGTCCTCACTTTTAACGTGTATTCCCATGTGGACAGATTTTTTAAAGAAAAAATAACCCGCTAAGCATGCTGTCCCATCGCTTTAAAACACGGGGAGTGTGTCTTTTGCCTATCATTGTCAGAGGTCTTCCATGAGTAATCCAGTTTCCATTTTGAGAAGGGTGATTTCGGGATTAGTCACGCTTTCCACTCAGTTGTGGAGAGAAGTGACCTTGATATCTAGACTTCTATACAAGTACAACGCACATAGCGCCCTTTCTCTCAACAGGCTTAGAAAGCTCTGCTGACACCCTTCCTTTGCAAGGTTCGGATACACACTGGCAGCTTGATATATAAACTGTTACCTTGGAAAGGATGTTAACATGAGGTAACACTAGGTTAACCCTTAAACTGTGAGCAGCTTGATATATAAACTGTTACCTTGGAAAGAATGTTAACATGAGGAACCTCTAGGTGAACCATAAGACTGAGAGAGCATCTTGATATATAAACTGTACCTTGGAAAGAACGTTAACATGAGGAACCTCTACGTTAACCATAACACTAAGAGCAGCTTGATATATAAACTGTTACCTTGGAAAGGATGTTAACATGAGGTAACACTAGGTTAACCATAAGACTGAGAGAGTAGCTTGATACATAAACTGTTACCTTGGAAAGAATGTTAACATGAGGAACCTCTAGGTTAACCATAACACTGAGAGCAGCTTGATATATAAACTGTTACCTTGGAAAGAACGTTAACATGAGGAACCTCTAGGTTAACCATAACACTGAGAGCAGCTAAAGCTCCAGATATAAACTTTCCTCCATCAACCATGAAGTGGGAGTCTATCAGGAACACACCGCACACCCTGACAATTAGTTCATCAGTTTATAACATTACGGAAAAGTTCGTTAATTAGTTTAACCCCCACCATCACTTTATACACGTACATCTAAACAGTTTGTTTTTAACCTTTGTGACAGAAACAATCTCAAGGAATAATAATTGTCTTAAAACATTTTTTTAAAAAGTGAATACTTGCAATTTATCTTTTTTCCATCTGATAATCTGAGTTCGTTTCCCTTATGACGGCCCAAATTTTTATTTTGCATATTCTTTTTTGTTTGTTTATTTTTAACAAACATTTTTCATATTTTTTTTATCGATTTTGATGGTTATTATTTTGTTAGAACTGACGAGGGTCAACCCAGACCGAAATATATTTTCAATAAATGTGGAACTAACATCTACTTTTTTTACTCTACCGAGGTTTGGTTCATCACAATCACCGAATTTTAAATATAACATTACAGACCACAGAAAAATAATATAAGTCCTAAAAGATATTGACAAATTCTATAACTACGATAAAAAATAAATACAACTGTCTTTATTTTGAACACCTAAACACGGGTTTTAAAGTCCAATTCTCTTTCTTGATTCGGACTGATATGTGTATAGTAAGGCATCCCTGAAACTCTGACTGATTGATTGATTGATTGATTAATTGATTGATTGATTGATCTGAGGAAGGGCAACGTGTTAGAACTATTCCCAAACCCGGGATCCATATTTTTTGTCGTCCAAAGGATAAAATTTATTTTTCAATGATATCCTGTCGTCGAAACCCATGATAGGGATTACTATACTGAGAAGATCTAAGGTTGAGATTAAGTGGAGCAGATTAGCGCAATCTTACACAAAAGTTTAAATCTCTGGCCAAATTAAATGACAATATTAGTTTTTCGGAATTTGTCCCTATTTTTGTATTCATTTCCGTAGAGAGTTTAGGCTCATAATTTAGGTAATATAAACATGTCGGGAATAATTGATTGATTGATTGTATAAGTAATTAATATGATTCAGTCATTTTGTAGGTAACTTTATAGAGGCTTTTGGTTTACAATTTTAAAACAATATTCGAAGGTTTTGAAAAAAAATTAAAAACTTGAACCGACAAGATTTTTTTTGGAAAAAAATTTCTCTGTGAAGGAGTCAAATTGCCGCAAACTCAAATTTAACAATCTTTAAAATCTGATAGTGTAAATCTTTGGTATTTCAAAATTTGATTAATTGATCAAACAAAATTTATAGTTTGAAATATTGAAGGTCTACGACTTTGAATAACAAAGATAAAGGGATTAGAAAATTAGAGTTTGTGGCAAAGACAAATTCCTTTGTGTTGCATTTTACGTTTTCGATGATGAAAAATATTCGTGAACCTGAAATTCCAATGTTGAAGAAGGTCTACAAATCTTCTCATGAGATTCATGTGTGTATACAATTCGATCTGACCAGGGCAGTCGAATAAAATATAATCATCCTCGTCCTCACCCAGGGCTTCCTATAAGTAAAGTTTTCACTGCAGTGCTTCCTATAAGTAAATTTTTTATCATCCCCATCCTCACCCAGTGCTTCGTAGTAGTAACATTTCATTTCAGTGCTTCCTTAAAGTAAAGTTGTATCAAAACATTTTTTCAAGACATTTCTTAACATTTTAAACAAAATAATAAAATATTCATCCAACTTTACGAAGTTTTCCTCTTTCATTAAAAATAAACTAAATGATGAGGAACATCAACAAATCTGATTTTCAAATCCCTTAATCTTTGCAACCAAAAGTCAGATCTTTGACATTTCAATCTATGATATTTGTTGGATAAAAAAGTCTAAATTTGAAAATGCAAAGGTTTACATCATTTGGTTGCACAGATATAGGAATGAGAAAATTTAGTTTGTGGCAAAAATTGAGCACCTGAAAATCTAAAAATCTGACCTCTAACCAGTCTGTGTTCTCCATCATGAACTCCATACTGAAGACGAGTCCTCCGTTAGGACCAAACTTCATCTCTTCGTCCTCCATCACGTCCTGGGACGAACATTGAAAAGATATAAAAATACCATTTTCAAGACGGAGGGGCTTAATTTCAAGATTAGAAAAGTCATATTTAAAGAGTTTCGGGTCGTCTTCACAGTCTCATCCTTTGCGGACAACCCTGTATATTTCGTTCAACAATCGTTTCCAAATTATTATAGGATTTCTTAAAGGGTTTCTTGTCAATAAATTGAAGAAAGTAAATAATTCAATGAGTCATTGATTTTTGAGGGGGGGGGGGGGGGGAATCTTAGAGTTCAATGTACAATTCTTTCCTTTCCATAAATCTTTAAAAATCCACCCCCTCGTAATTTTTTCATCTTGAAATTTTATAACCAGACGTTCTTATCCCTATTCCTTAAGCCCTCCCTTTCTGTCTAAAACCGGGCTTTTAAACTAGCTGTCTGAGTCCTCAGGACACTGCCTGAATAAATTCTTTTTCCTGTAACAAACTAAATCTTGATTTTGACCCACTTTCAGCTGTCAGATTTTGACAATTTGTAGCTTTTAGGAAAGCCTATGAATTCAAATAAGGAAACGGAGTGCACAAGTTTTTCAAAGAAATATGCACATTTACAGTATTTTCTTAATTACAGATCATGTTATTTAAATTTTGGCTAACAGTTTTGCATGTATGATATGGGATGGTCAAGGGCTTTACAAAAATGTATATTTTATCAATTTGGTAATTTTTTTGCAAACATTTTTACCATAATACTGGATTTAGCCAAAAAAAATTATTTTTTGCAGATTCTAACAATAGAGCATAAGAGCATTCCAATGATGTATCATTTGTCATATTTGGACGTCAAACATGGCATTTAGAGGGGGCATTTAGATCCCTAACATCTAGAAGGGGGTTGGTAACTAAAATGGACTTACATCTACTTGTATAAGATCCCTAACATCTAGAAGAGGTTGGTAACTGAAATGTTCAGCGGCTGGATCAAGGTTGGCAACATGGATAGTTCGCTTAGAGTCCTGGAATAAATAAAAAGTGTATCAAGGAGCCCCTGATGCCAACCCGCCTTTCTTATGAGGCCCATTTTGCGGTCGAAGTAAACTGGCCTTCCTTTCCAAAAATGTAGTAATGGTAAAAATAAATTTATTAAGAAGACTCCAGGCTGAGGTCCATTCCNCATTACTCGGAGTGGCGGGGGCTAGTCCGTCCAAAGTGTTGTTAATCTTTTTGGTTTATTTTTTAAACTTTTAATAAAACTTCCAATGTTTCAAAACTCAATAATTTTATAAAAAAAATAGAAAAACGATAGTTATAAAACGTTCGTTTTTTCGGCAAATATTAAGATTAGATAATTTTGAAAACATTTGTTCTTCCAGCACTGTGCCAAATTTTTCTCTGATGAAAGAAAATGAATGAACTTGATGCACATCCCTACCTGTCCATGTGCAGCTAGCGTGGAACAGTATGTAGATTTGCCTGAACCAGCTGGACCCATCACTATCTGGGCGTAGCGCATTTTTCCTCTGAAATATTTCTTTGTGCAATTTATAATTATCCAGATAGAGTTTAATAACAATCGCCATTATTTCGTTTCAGGTATTTCTTAAAGAGACTGTTTACAAATTATGGAAATTATTACACTAATTTTAAAAAATTGGGAGCACAACTGACCCGTTCAAAAATATCTAAAGGCAAAAATAATAGATTTTTAAAAATTTTTTAATGAGGATTTTTGAAATGAAGGTTTACATGGAATGAACTTGATCCTCTGATCCACTAATGAAGTCTAAAGCCATCCCTACCTCATTTGATTTGAGCATGAATTTACACAAGCATAATTATACAAGTGGTAAAAAATCCATTTCGACATACAAATGCATTGTTTTTTTTTTGTAAGAACAAATCAAAAAAAAGTATCCGAACTTTTCGTTTAAGTTAAAAAAATATTTAGAAAGATAATGAAAAATCAGGAGTACTAACAAAGAATCTATTAAATAATATAAAAATGTTTATTGCAATAATTGATTTTCTATATTTAAGCGTGCGCAATTTACAGGAGCAAATAGAAGTATTATATTTAAAGAGGCAGTACGCTTAATTTCAGGGGCTTCTTTGCAAAAATTGCATTGCCTGATTTACACCACTCCTCCAACAAATCCCTGATCTGAGATATTTAGAAGCCTGCGTTATTCTGATACTTCCCATATATTTTTCAACAGATGAAATGCGTAAGGTAGAATTATCACAATTGAAAACAATCAGCTTTTAAAAGTTATAAACATTGATACGCACACAGTCCCTTTAAGTAGTTTATTTCGCCAGAGTGCGAGTGATATTTTGAGTATATTGGGTGCAGTGAGTATGAACAAAAATACTGAATTATTAACAAATTTTTTAAGCATTTATCGAAAAATTACAATTTTTCGTATTTATAAAACAGTACAGGTATAATAAATCACAGTAGTTTTCATTGGTGCGAGTGTTTACAGGGGCATATTAAAAATTTTTATTCAGAGGGGGGCAGGCTTGACCTTTTTATCCCCCTCCCCAGTATCTGTATACGCCCCTGGGTGTTTAATATATGCATTTATTATTACGGATCTCTTTATGCATGCAACATGTCATTTAAAAATAAATTGTTGAAGTTTTCAATCTTTAGATTTCCTGCTCCAGGCTCGAGCACGAACTTCACTCAGACTCCAATCCTTGACGAGCTCCCCGTTCTCAAAGACGAGGAACATCTCGTCCTCCTGGGTTGTCTCCTCTTCACGGACCGTCTGAAACTCTCCGTCCTGCTTGATAAGGACCAGACGTCCTTTCTTACTCTTTTTCTTATGATCTGTGACAGGATCTGAAAAACGTCTTGTAAGTTTGTAAACATTACTTCCTTTGTAAACATCAATACCTTTGTAAGCATCAAGACCTTTGTAAGCATCAAGACCTTTGTAAATAGAAATACCGTTAAAAACATCAAAAACCTTTGAAAACATCCAACACTATTGTAAAAATCAGTACCTTTGAAAACATCAATTCCCTTCCCGTCGACTTCCACGTAGCTACATTTGTACGCACACTTCTGCGTATCTCGATCCATCTTCTGTAGAAGTGCTCCCCCGGACCCAAAACATAGATTTTCAGCTGACCACCTGTTCTCCTGCATTTTCAGTAATTGAGTCTTAACTCAAAGGTCAGGGTTAAACTTCAGGTGAGAGGTAAAAAAAAAGTTAAAGGTCAATAAATTAAGTTCAAAGGAGGGTCAATGGTCCAATGAAGGTCAACAGTCAAAGAAAAGTCAACAGTTACAGGAAGGTCAAAGATCAAAAGATAGTTAAAGATCAAAGGAAGGTCAAAGATCAAAGAGAGGTCATAGATCAAAGGTAGGTCAAAGATCAAAGGAAAAACAAAGATCAAAGGAAGGTCAAAGATCAACGGAAGGTAAAAGATCAAAGGAAGGTCAAAGATCAAAGGAAGGTCAAAGATCAAAGGAAGATCAAAGATCAAAGGAAGGGCAAAGATCAAAGGAAGGTCAAAGATCTAAGAAAGGTCAAATATCACAGGAAAATCAAAGCTCTTAAGACAATGGTCACATTTCAAGCGTCAAAGAGTGAAACGTCAAACAAAATTGTCAAGGAACAGATGGTTAAAATACATAGTAAAAGGTCAAAGGTCAAACATCAGCCAAAAACTAAAACCTTTTCTTCTCAAATATCTTAATCGAGTACTCGTGAAATAAGAAACAGCAAAAAATTGACTTAACGAAAAAAAAACTTTTTTCTTCAAACCTAGATCCATTTGTTTGGAAGGCGGATCAACATGAAATGGATTCAAAAACCTTGAAAAATAAAAACAGGCTTCATAGCTACCTTCATAACTTTAAGGATCTTCTCCAAGGACTCGTAACAGATCCCGTCTCCTGAAATAAATTTAGGTGGTTTATGTATTAGAAAAGAATCCTCCCCTTGGAGAAGGAAATTACATTTTAACTTGACAACATGTCCAACTAGCAGCTGTATACCCATCATTTGGACAAGGGAAGAATGTGAATCAGGTAAGTGAATTAAAAAAAGAAAATTCAAGATTTTGAAAGATTCAAAACATAAAAGGTTGCTCTTTGGCCTCTGCATTTTTTGTAATTGTTATTTTTATAAACTGTAGTTGTACTTTAAATAAAACTTTTGATTTGGGGTAAAACTACAAATAATATGCCAGGGGAGTAAAATATGTATTTTTAGTTTTTTTTTAATTGAGTGCCAAAATCTCCACTTCCGATAATAAATGCTTAATTTTACAATCAAGATTTTATATATTTACGAAAAAAATAAGAATTTGTTTGATTGGATAAGGAAATAATCGACATTTTTAATTCTAAAAATAGTTGTCTGACAAAATTGTTTGCGCAGACATCGCGTTAAAATCACATTTTAGATCTGTCATTTGTACTCCGTGCACACTGCACAGGACATTTGTACTCCGTGCACACTGCACAGTACATTTGTACTCCGTGCACATTGTACAGTACATTTGTACTCCGTGCACACTACACAGTACATTTGTACTCCGTGCACACTGCACAGTACATTTGTACTCCGTGCACACTACACAGTACATTTGTACTCCGTGCACACTGCACAGTACATTTGTACTCCGTGCACACTGTACAGTACATTTGTACTCCGTGCACACTACACAGGACATTTGTACTCCGTGCACACTGCACAGTACATTTGTACTCCATGCACACTGTACAGTACATTTGTACTCCGTGCACACTGTACAGTACATTTGTACTCCGTGCACACTGCACAGTACAAGTTGGCCAAAAAATAGAAATAGATGAAGAAGAATTAAGACTAAAAAAAGTGCGAACAAAAGAATTTCTTTTCGATGTAAGACAAACAAAATATTTTGATGAATTGTCTGTTTAAAAAAGTTCTCAATTTTATCATTATAGGTTTTAAAAATCCACTGAAACGAAATCCTGTCAATGTGCTTCCTTGGGTTTCTAGGAATAAATAAGTACATGATTTATTGATTTACGCGCTATGTCGTAGAGAGGACAGTTAATTTAAAAGTTATTCTTATTATTGAAATCTAAGTAATTACAAGGAAATTTTTTTTAATGATTTTAGTTAATGTATTTTCCTTGAATGTTAGTCAAATTTTACAACCATTTTTTATGTAAAAATCTTATTTTTTCATAAAAAGTGTGTTAATTTAAAAAATGTTAAGTTTCTTTGTCCCTTGAAAATATTTTAATACTCCTGCCGATTAAGTTCAAACACAGTCTAGGAAAGTAATTGGCACGGCCCGCTTATAGATATGATTCTATAATCTATCTATCAATCTACACTGAACTTGGCCACAGTACAAATTTTATTTTGGTAATTTTTTCCATGGGCCTACCAGCTGATATAGCAAACCGGACCCTAGATTTGTTGTGTTTATTTTTGGGGCATATGATGTTTTTTTTAATGTTTCTTTTATACAATTTCTTATTTTTTTTTATTCAAAATAGATTTTTTTTTGTTTACAAAGAATTAATATCTGGAGGAAAGTTCAGGGTCCATAGAGTAGGAAAGTTGTACAGCTGTGTTGATAAACAGTGGGCCCTGTGATGTATGAACATGAGGTACTGCAGTGTTATATCAAGTGAAAATAATAGTACTTGTCAAGATAAAATCTTTTTTTCGTTCCCGAAAAAAGACCTAAGAGTAGTATGGTTTACAAGCCAACCTTCCTCCTGGAATCCGAAAAAATGGAGTGTGTTATGCTCAGACCATTTTTCTCCTGATGACCTTAATAGGGTTTCTAAAAGACTACGACCTGGAGCCATACCATCCTCTAACCCCCAGTCATCAGCAATTCAAGGTAATATGTGATTCAATTTTTGTTTTAAGAAGTTCGATGAATGTGAACTTTTTTTGATTTTGACGAAAAATGTTATATTCATTTTTAAACTTCTTTAAAAATTAAAAGATTTGTGTGACTGTACAGTGTACATATAGGTAATTGCAAATTTAGAGGTGAAAAACTTGGACAAACGGTAAAATAAATGGGTTTTTCTTAGATATTTGAACAAATTTGAAAATTTGTGTGATTGTGCAAA